TGAGAGAAGCCCAATATACAGAATTCATGAGCGAAAGGATAACGTGAGTTATGCCACTCGGATATCCTGGTCATTATTAAAACCTTCAAAACTTCCAATATTGTCATTTCATCTGATTTTAGACGCTTTATATTAGCTTCACATGTATGTATGTTTGTTTGTTTGATCTCGGCTCGGGATCTGTATTTGACAGAATTACCGACATTGATCTATTTGCGGGCAGATGGCGCTGTACGTAACCTCTTTGATTTATCGACATTACTGCTTGATCTATTCGCAGGCAGATGGCACTGTACGTAACCAAAAATATCAATGGTCATTTTCCTAAACAATATACGGCTAATTGATCCCAAACTTTAGATAAAATAAATATGGTATGAAAATACTGAAAAACACGATTTTATAGTATACAAAATAAAAAAATAAAAAATAGATATAGTTGAAAACCTAAAAAACACGCTTTTGAAGAACATCGAACGAAAAAGTTGAAAAATTTTTTTTAATGAGCTTTAAACAATAACGAACGAAAAATACTAGTATTATTCTAAAAGAAGCGTGTGCGCTTTGTGCCATATTTTTTGTATATACACCGCCATTCGCTTTTTTCACAATAATAGTAGTATTTTTCGTTCGTTTTGTTTTAAGCTTATTTGAAAAATATTATTTTTAACTTTTAATTTCTATGTTCTTTGAAAGCGTGTTTTTCAGTTTCTCAAACTATATTTATTTTTCATTTTTAGTTTCGTATGCTATTAAAGCCAAAACTTCTCTTTTCCATGAAGATGATGTATTTCGGAAAAATGTGTTTTCCTCAAAAATGCATCGTTTTTGACACTTTCAAGATTGTTTTCTGACAAATAAGAATGTACTTCCAATGAGCTATTCCATTTTTTGTACTGGATCTACAGATACCAGAAATCCAATATTCTTTTCCTTTTTTCATTGGCTGAATTTTCCATCGGAGGGAAATTTCCAATGAAATACTCACTTTTTGAGTTATCTGAGAAATATTGTCTGAAAATATGGATTTAATTCACACTCCAACTCGCGAATAAGTATTGACTAAAAAAAAACATTTTTCACCCCTGACATGAGGTGGCAATTTTCCACCCCCTTACAGTGTCAACTTTGAAGTATAGAATGAGTAGAACCTCAATCAGAATTTTCAAGAACATCGGTGTTGTTTGACAAGATTATACGTGCAAAGGGTCATTGCCTGGACTGCATTGCATGAATGCACGTGAAACGTTACAAGTGTCAGAAAACCGTATATTTTACGAATAATCCGGCGTCTGTTCCCCACAGCGAGCGTGGTACGGTTACGTGTCACTCAGGGCGAAACTGTCTAAGAAACCTCGTACCAACCTGTACAAATGTTTGGCCTGCAATTAACTTCGGAAGGTGCTTAATACTTCTGTTTCAGTCGCTGTTGATTCACTGAATTCAAAATTATTGCCGGTCTTTACACGCATTCCTTACACGATGGAAAAGTTTCAGAAATTCGCAGAGGCGTGGAATGGTACATTTGAAGTTTCAATCTGAACAAGATGGGATTATTAAAGCGTGATAAGATATTTTTTTGTGGTAATGCCTCAAACACCACAGAAAAATCTCTAAAATATATTGTGATTTATGTTAACTTTCATTTCATCTCAATCATATTCGTAGAGCAAATGATTTTCTGTACAGTGATATTTTTTAAAAATGAGAACTTCTCAGATAGATCATTCAATCGTTTATTTCTGACCGTTTATTTCGAATCTCTTTTCCGTGACACTATCACTAATAATCTTGTTTCTCGTATTCAGTTTGAACATGTTCTCACCTTCGCTGGATGTAAGTCACATTCTCTTTGGACGTTGTTTGGTTTGTCCATGAATTGTTCGACCCCTTGGATTCAGTGCCTCACATTCACATGAAATATGGCGATTTGCCTTTGTCCCTGTGATGTATTATCTGAAGCATTGACAACTGACAAGTAGCGAAATTCGAAAATTGGTTCAAAATATGTGAATTTGAAGTATTAGATGCAGTGATAAAATTAACTTTTTGGAATATATTAGGTAGGTAAAAGGTCTTTCATTAGACGATTCCCATCGTATAATCTGAAAGAAGAAAAATGTGTGTGAGATGTCATCCAAATTTTTCATCAGTTTGAAAGACCCATTGACGTTCAATTTTCCAATACTTTGGTGCATATATTAGTTTGAATTTGACCGATGGCATGGGTTACGTTGGCTTTAAGGACCGATGTGGTTTGTAGCTTATTCGCTTATACCTTCGACTCAGGGAAACCCCACAAGAAAAAGTCTAACGGGTTCAAATCGCAAGATCTTTTTGGCCAGTTTACATCATCTCTACGTGAGTTGACCATGCCCTCAAATCGTTCTTGGCATGAGTTGTGTGGCATGAAGTGCCGTCCTGTTGGTCGTTGGTGTCCAGATAACCGAATTCATGCCAAAAGAAGTTGGTAATCATCTAGCTATAGTACGTTGACAGTGATGTCCTGGCCAACGTCGTTCTCAAAGACATTTAGATCGATGACACCGCCAGACCAAAATCCACACCAAACAGTGATGCATTGAACGCTCTTGCATCTCATGTGGATTGGTATCATCCCAGATTCGAACAATTTTGTTTGTTCACGTATCCACCATTCATACAGAAAAGGGCCTCATGGAAATTAGGACCAGTTGCCATCTGCTCCAGAGTCCATTTAGAAAACACACGTCGTTGTCTATGGCCGGTTACCATCCTTCAGTTCTGGGTCAGTTGAACTTTGTAGGTGTGCAGGGTCGAATCACGACGCAAAATTTGACAGGTTGTGGTCTGCGAAAGGCCTAGTTCTTGTGAGCGACGCAAAATGACTGCCTCGGATTCTCCTGCACACTCTCACAGACAGCGGTGATGTATTCGGTAGACCTTGCGTTTTTTCAACATACAGGTGTTGGTCGATCGTTTACTGAACCAGCGAACCACCACTTTACGAGCAGTCATCTCGGTAGGACATATATGGCGATTATAAAATTAGCGAAGCGTGCGGTACGTTGTCTGAATAGAAGACTCATTTTGATGAATCAATTTCGATATTTTTATATGGTGTTGAAAACCGCATATCTATAATCGTTTTTGAGTTACAGCTTGTTGTTGTAACTTTTGCTGTAACCTTTTTCTGCCAGAAATTTCGTGTTTCTATGAAAACATTTCCAGAACATTTTTTACGTAGAATTCAATGGGGCGGGAAAACTTATTTTTTCAGATGAGATATCGATAGTTATTGATGGAAAACTATTTTTTTAATGAGAGCTTGAAAGTACCTTTCCAAAAATGTAGCACCCTTGATGTTTTGCTGGAGTAATCTTTCAAATACAGAGCTTATATGTTTTTTCATGTAGACTTTGAAAAACAAACTTTGATGAAATATGCTTTGGACGATGCGGCGATAAAACTGGTAGCTGTCAAATTCTGATTCAAGAAGTACGGACGCACTTCAATTAGTGGTTTTTGTACAATTTTCAAACACATTTGCAATGAAGTGTAACAATTATGAAGAATGGGATACGATAGTCTGTTTTATACAAACCGGGAAAATACAGAAGCAGCAAGCAATTTGTATCACGAGAAGTATTCAGAGAGAAGACACCTCTTCAGAGACATATTCGCAAGATTGCGACACAACCTATTTGATGGTGGTCAATTTGAAATGAGGAGTTGGAAGGAATAGTTGTTTGAGGAGGTGTTGAAAATAATCCCAAAACGTCAACGCGAAATTTGAAAATATCAACAGGCCTACCAAGAACTAACGTTAGGAGGATTTAAAAAACCTATCAAGCCATACAGGACCAGAAGAGTTCATCAACTCAGACCAAGAAATTTTGAACGCCGCATGACTTATCGCCAGTGGTTCCTGGAAAGTTGTAACCAAGTGCATGATTTTTTGTTAGAATGTATTTGTACAGACGAAGCTTACGTGAACAGTGCCGACATTTTCTACCGCTACAGTTCTTATACTTGGGCACAACAAAATTCTCATTCTATTGTGGAGAAGAGTAGTTAAGGAATATATGGATTCAGTGTTTGGGCAGGTGTTTTCAGGGGTTCAATTATCGGCCCGGTTATTTATAATGTCACTTTCACATCCCAGAGGTATTTAGAAATTTTAAGGCAAAATATTGAACCCCTTGTTAATGAATTTGCCCATAATGGAGCTCAGATAATATATTTTTAACAAAAATGCAATTGTCACCAATTTTTTGGGTGCAAATTTCAATATTAATTGGATAGCCAACCAAGGACCCAACTGTTATTGTTTGTTCTTTATTTTCATCATTATTATTGTTGAAGTTTCATTTATCAATAGTAAAAAAAGTATTCATTGTTATCAGTTCTATTGAAACTATGCGTTTTAATTACTGCTTTCTCAACATTTGATAGCTGTTACTGAAAAATATCTTTCTGTTTTATCGCCGCGTCGAAAAACTACTTGATCAAAGTGTGCGTTTCAAAGTCTTCATGAAAAAACCTAAAAGTTCTATATTTCAAAGGTGACTCCAGTAAAACATCAAGTGTCCTTATCTACAGGTGTAAGAATCTTAGTTCATCTGTCCGTGAAGAATAATTCTGAACAAGAAAAAGTATATGGTTTCTCTACCACGACAAAAACTAACATTTTTGAATGGGGCCATCTTATTTTTGTGAAAAGATATATGACAGGTTTCAGTTCATTCTTGATGATTAAATTTGGTTAAACTGAAGATGATGTATCTATCTTAAGGAGAATCATTTTCTAGACTTTACTGCATATTTCCTAATAACCTATTAGATTCTCAGTAACTCACTTCATTTGAAAGTTTCTGGCAACCTTTTGTGGGACTGTATAAATGAAACACTGATTATTGTTTTCGATATTCAGTTTCTTCTCATCAATTACTCGCATGACTGTGGAATAAACAATGTGGGGTATGGCTTCAAATTCCAAATTTTTGTTGAAATCTATTCTTTTCGTATTCATTAGACCCTGATATACACTTTCACCACTCTCGTCCATCGTAAAGATTGGTAGTTGATATAACGGTGGAAACTAAAAAAATTTAATTACCTATAGTATATATAGTATAGTTGAGATTTGATCATTTTACGTTAATCTACATACTAAGGAGAACAATTGAGATTTCATCCATCAAATGAAATTTTTGATAATAAACAATATATTAAAAAAATCATCTTTTCATATATTGAAGAAAATCATTCTGTCATATGATTTTTTTAATATCTTGTTTTATTGTCAAAGTCAAATGTTAAAATGAATTTCATTTTAACAAATGAAACCATGCAATTCTCAATTACAAATAAGTAACATGGTTCAGAACTTGTGTTTTCAGGATTTTCAGCATTTTTTCTATAATGATTACAATTTGCATAATTATAATTCAATCGGTAGTGAAATGAAAATGAACAATTTTTTTTTTCAATTTCAATAATTTTCAAAATAAGTAGGACTATTTCTTTATATCATCTTAACTCAGAACGAAGATTCATATATGAAAAGTAGGTTGAACATTTCAATGTGATCTTCCAATATATGCAGGATTACTCCACAGAAGTAATCCTACATATGCTGTTGGCGATACAACTGCCGGAATCGATTTTCGATTATTGGAACTTGCAGACCGGTCTTGGGCTGATTGGCCTTCCGTCAGTGCAAGGTAGTGCCCATCATTAACATGTGGTCGATGATTTCTCATATTTAAAAATCGAATTCCTTTCAGAGTATCATTCCTCGAATTAGGCTGAAGCGAACGACAAACAACATATTTTGTCATCGATCCATCTGCCCGTAAATGAGGTAATCAACCGCATATCCAAATCAGCCAATTCGTCGTATGAGAAAAATTTTTCTCATATAGTAAGAAGAGCATACTTGAAGACTGTCAGTAAATCAAATTATCTATAATAACAGTTCGTTCAGGCCAGACTCAACTCACCTATACTGTAGGTTAATGGACTGACACATATCAGAAAAACAACTACTTCCCTGACTGATACCACGAATGGCATTGGATTATATCCAACAGGTGTCACTGTCAGTGTCAGGAGTATTCACAGAACTAATTCCTGCATATGATGTTAGCGATACAATCGATTTTCAATTACTGAAACGGGCACATTAGCAGACCGGTTTCGAGCTATGTGGCCTCTCGTCAGTGCACGGTAGTGTGCATCATCAACATGAAGTCGATGATTTCCCATAATCAAAAATCAAATTCCTTGAACTAGGCTGTTGGCTAAGGAATTGAGCAATCCCAATATGCGGTTGGTTACCTCGTTCACGAACATATGGGACGATGACAAATATGATATTCGTCGTTCGCGTCAGCCTAATTCGAGGAATGGTACTCTGAAAGGAATTCGAATTCCAATTATGGGAAATTATCGACTCCATGTTGATGATGGACACTACCTCGCACTGACGGCCAAATAGCCCGAAACCTGTCTGCAAATGTACTTGTTCCAATGATTGAAAATCGATTACTGCAGTTGTAGTGTCAACAGCGTGTACAGGGATCACATTTGTGAAGAGCCCTGCATTGACACCTGTCGAATATAATCCAACGCCAGGGAAGTAGTTGTTTTCTGATAGGTGTCATTCCATTAACCTACAGTGTAGGCAATTTGAGACGGGCCTGAACGACTTGTTCTTTTAGATAATCTACTAAATCGGTACACTTTACAAAGAAAAAGACCCTGAAAGTTATGTTTTCTGAAGTTTCAAAGTATCCTACACTGATGATGATTCAATATTTCATATATGGAGTGCACCAATGTTTGGAAGAAACCCATAATCGTAAAGAATCTGCCTTAGCAACACATGTTCTGTTTTGATGACCTGTTAAGTGAAAATATTACAATAGAATGTTATTCAAACACTCAAAATCATCACAGTAATATGCTCCATCATCCTCTTATCTGCATCTACTTCCTCTGCAACTACTTGAATTTGACTAACCCGATATACTGGGTAATTACTGGATTGACATTTTTGAATTTCTTCAACACAGTTAGTTTTTGCGATATTAATTTTAACCGAAACACTGAATATGAACATTTAACACTGACCATTTTCGATTTGATTATGATTCTGACTCTCATTTTCATTCTCATTTTTATTCTAATTCTCATTCTCATTTTCAGTTCTCATTTCTCATTCTCATTCAACCACGTGTGAATGTTGACTGGAAACTCTTTTCATACCTCCATCAAAGCGAAAAAAGTTCCATCTTTTTTCCAACAATTTCGCGGAGATAGAAATTGAATGAAAAAGCACCCTTGTCTTCTCAATCTGTGGCCATTTTTCAAAAGACTACTTGCATGGGGCATATAACTACGGCTCCTGTATATGTCGGCCAATTCTTCAAGGTCTTCGTCAGGAACTTCTACTAAAATATCACTGTAATCATTGTATTCACTCATTTTCACAGTAAAATAATGATATTGAAGAATGACCGTGCACTGATGAGCATTATTTACATGACTGGATGATTTTATTCACTTTTGTGAAGCGGTAAGTGCATTTGCGATAAGATAACATTATTACGATGACGAAAGGATTGTGTTGACGAATTATGGTTATTGTATGAAGCATGTTAGATAATGAATATCGTAAATGCATTTACTAATAATCGAATCCCGAACACACAATTTTTATGTTAACGGAATTAATCGACTTGTGTTATGTCGGCAAAAGTGCACTGATTTAAATGGCGCTTATTTCAATTAAATTGAATAAGATTTGCCCTGAGATATTACAGAGGTATTCTGTAAACAAGACTTATAAAAATGATCAAAATTTTTGATACAACCTAATTCATGCCAGATCGCTACTTTGCTCGTAACTGTCATAATATAATAAATGAAAGGGGCTGGTTTGAAATTTGTCAAGTTACCTGTGCTTGGGATCACACGTTGGAAGTAGGTCCAGAAATGAAATGGATATTCAGAATTATAGAGGTATATCAATTCAATTGTGAAAAAAAGTAATACAAATCATGAAATTATGGAACAACAAAAATTAATTGGCGCTCCGGGGCGAATTCATTGATTCCAGTGCNTTGCAAAATTACAAATATCCTTTTTCAATTCAAGCTCGTTTTTTTAAACAGGGTTATTTCAACTGGTCAAGCATTTTGAAAGTAGTAGAATTATAAGGTTATGTGGACTATTTTCGACAGGGGTCAAACTAGGGAGTGATTTTTACATTTTTTAGTCGATAAAAAAATAGAGACTTACATTATTCTCGGTATAACTTACTAAGTTTCGATGCTGGGGACTTTTACGAAGGCTGAAGGCTGAAAATAAAGTTTTAAAGGGTGTTATTTTTAGGGAAAGAAAGGTTTTCTATTCAAAAAAACGTGGGAATCCTTCGAAGAAAGAAAAGAAGCGACCAAAGAAAAAAACTCAACTATATGAAAGATGTGTAGATTATGAAAAAATTAACTTTCAGATACAAACAGGAAGGAAAGACGTTTCTACCACTGAATTATACAAAAAACACTTCTCTCTATTCAGTTTGTATTCCAGACATTAGTTATGGAATTGAATCAGATATCATTCACAATATTGCTACACAATATAGTAAAGGAAAGAGGTAGAATTTCACTTACGAGGAACACTGTCATCCTCACTGTTGGACATCCGAAGTTTCGGCATGAAACACTTACTTTATAGCTTCTTCAGTACCAAATCTGAATAACATCACAAATTGGAGCACTCAAATGATTCATGAAATTTTTTTTATGTCACGAATCAGTTGAATTTACTCGTGTCATCGATGACAGTACGTGATGCCAAAATATTTCTTACTCAAAAATTAATCTTGCCAAAAAATACTTCTTTCAATTTGAAAAACATTCCTTTGGCTGGGATTTGATCAAAAAGGTGAATGAATGTCATTACGTGCTGTCATCGATGACATGAGTATATTAAGGTCATTCTTGAAATGTTTGGTGCCGAAGAGGCGATAAGGTAAATGTCTCATGCCGAAACATCGGATGTCCACCAGTGCGGATGACAGTGTTTCATGCATGTGAAATTTTACCTCTTTCATTAACTATATTGTGTAGCAATTCTGTGAATGATATCGGATTATCTTCTATAACGAATGTTTGGAATACAAACTGGAAGAAAAATTGTTTTTGAATGATTCAATGTTTATATAGAATGTGTGGATGTGGAGGCTCGTGTACCTCAAGGATCGATTCTTGGTCCGCTAATTTTTCTACTATATTTAAATGATCTGTTCAAATACGTCTGCACTTAACACCTAATTCTATATGGCGATGAAAGCAGAAACGTCTGAAGAGCTCATTGCGAAAATGAATATACTGTCAAAGGAGTTTACCACGTAGTGTGGGAGAAATTCTCTGATGGTAAATTCTGCTGAAACAGTTTTTATGCACTTGTTCACCAGAAATGAAATATCTGAGACTAGTTGAATCTCAATAAATGATAGTGAAGTCGCTTTCGCGAAATCCACCAAATTTATAAGAATATTTGTGGACAATAATATGGGATGGAATAGCAATGTCAATCACATTTGCAAGAAATTGAATAGTAGTAACTTTGCTATATTGCAACTGAAAAATATTTTTGTGACGAGTCAGTTTGTCAGCATTCACTGTGATCTTGTTTATTTCTACATTTCTTATGATATTATTCTATCTTGTGGTGCAGTGGGAACATTCAGGGTCAAAACAGGATTATACGTTTATATTCGTCCTAGACTATAGAGAAACATGTCGTAATCATTTCAAATAAAATGGAATTCTTACATTTTACTCTATTTACAGCTACAACAAAAAGTGCAAAAAGTAATGCATGCAAAAAGTAATTGTCATAACTTTTCTCCCAACTCTGATTATCACGACCACCCAACTCGATCCTCAAAACTTATTAGGCCTCCTAAACATGGAACTAGTCTGTATGAGAGAAGCTCAATATATAGAATTCATAAGCAAAAGGATAACGTGAGTTATGCCACTCGGATGCCTTGGTTATTATTATAACCTTCAAAACTTCCAATATTGTTATTTCATCTGATTTTAGACATTTTGTATTAGCTTCACATGTATGTATGTTTGTTTGTTTGATTGTTTGTATCTCTCAAGCTCAGGATCTGTATTTGACAGAATTACCGACATTGATCTATTCGCAGGCAGATGGCACTGTACTTAATCGAAAATATCAGTTCATTGAAACTGATTCCTGGAATGGAATCCAAGCAACTTTTGTTACATAATTTTTTTCCAGAAGTCAATACTTCTCTACTTATTCGCACGTGAAAGTATCGATTTTTTTACCCAATGAACGGTTTTTCACGAATAACTCAAAGGATCTCATCGAAAAAATTACTACGAGTACGAATTCAGCTCATCAAAGAACAAACAGAATGATGGGCTCACTGTGTCTGTAGACCCAATACAAACGGAGTAATATCTTGTTGAAGGTCGGTTTTCATTTGGTAAATGCCAAAATTTCAATTATTGATTTTTTTTTGAAGTGCTTGAGAAAAACCTTCATTTTGGGTATTTATAAAAGTTCCTAGCCTCGATTGAAAATCATCATTACCATTTTACAGTTCACTAATGTATTTTCAATATGCTATAGAAGTTTTAACGATACAGATAGTTTAGTTTTGGGAAAAAATTTTAAATAAAACTCAAATTATCAACTGCAGCATCGATGAATGAATTTTATAGCTATATTTTGCGTATTGTTAATAGTTTGCATCATTTTGAAGAAATGGTACTTTTTTGCAAAATTACAAATATCCTTTTTCAATTCAAGCTCGTTTTTTTTAAACAGGGTTATTTCAACTGGTCAAGCATTTTGAAAGTAGTAGAATTATAAGGTTATGTGGACTATTTTCGACAGGGGTCAAACTAGGGAGTGATTTTTACATTTTTTAGTCGATAAAAAAATAGAGACTTACATTATTCTCGGTATAACTTACTAAGTTTCGATGCTGGGGACTTTTACGAAGGCTGAAGGCTGAAAATAAAGTTTTAAAGGGTGTTATTTTTAGGGAAAGAAAGGTTTTCTATTCAAAAAAACGTGGGAATCCTTCGAAGAAAGAAAAGAAGCGACCAAAGAAAAAAACTCAACTATATGAAAGATGTGTAGATTATGAAAACATTAACTTTCAGATACAAACAGGAAGGAAAGACGTTTCGACCACTGAAATATACAAAAAACACTTCTCTTTATTCAGTTTGTATTCCAGACGTTAGTCATGGAATCGAATCAGATATCATTCACAAGATTTCTTCACAATATAGTGAAGGAAAGAGGTAGAATTTCACTTACGTGGAACACTGTCATACTCACTGTGGGACATCCGAAGTTTCGGCATAAAACACTTGCTTTATAGCTTCTTCAGCACCAAATCTGAATAACATCACAAAATGGAGCACTCAAATGATTCATGAAATTATGTTTTTATGTCACGACTCAGTTTTCAGTTTGCCCTTTATTACACTTCAGCAAATTCTATATTTCTAATTCCTTTTCACACAAGCTTAGTATCATTATTTAATTTTTTCATTTGATTTTTTTTTCAGTTTGTAGGCAAAATTTATGAATATGCAGTAACTTTTCGGGATGAACTTTTCAGTTTTCAGTTTCAGTTTCAGTTACACTTCAGCAGATTCTGTATTGATTTATCTTTGATTTTTTCAGATTGTGAGAGATGATAAACCAAGTTTGAGTTGAGTTTTCCACTAAGAAATCTTGTTTGAAGAATATTTAAATCAGCAAGCTCTCGCCTCCAAAAATCTTGCCTACCGGGAGTGGTGCAAAAACCCCAATGCCGAAAACCGAACAAGTTTTGTTAATGCTGGCAACAGCTGCAAACTTGGGATAAATGAAAGCGAAGAACTTCACAATCATAGAATTAGGGATAAACTGCTTGCCAATCCTAACGGGTCTAGATCCTTCTGGTCGGTAGCTGAAGTTGTTAATCAGAACTTTACAAAATCCATAGTTCCACCACTAACACAAGCGGATGGTTGAATTGCAACAACAGCTATAGAAAAAGCGAATCTACTAGCTGAACAATTTGCGTCTCACTCCAAAGTAGATTTTCTGAGAAAGGCAACACCCTCTATTCCCACATTAGAATCTACAATGCCGGAAATTACTTTTCGACATCGTTTAGTCAGGCGAATTTTGAAACAGCTCAATATCAACAAGGCGTCTGGCCCCGATGAAGTGCCCATCATCGTACCCAAAAAGTGCGCAAATGAACTCGCACCAGTATTTTGCAAAGAGTTTTTCCTTCTTGTCGGGAGATAGCTCGCGTTCAAACTATTTCGAAGAAGTTCAAAAAAAATCGTTCAAATAACTATAGACCAGTCGCTTTTCTATCAGTAATATCAAAAATCATGGAGAAAGTCGTGAACCACCATGTCCTCAAACATTTGGAAGACTTCAACATCTTGAGCGATCATTAATATGGCTTTCGGAAACAAAGATATCAATAGGCGACCTTCTATCGTATGTCACTCATATTTGGAATAACGCAATCGAGAAACATGGAGAATCAAAAGCTGTTGCGCTTGATATCTCTAAGACCTCTGACCGTGTGTGGCATAAGGGTTTGCTTGCTAAATTTCGATGATAGGGCTTGTCGGATCGGATCGAATGAGGATCTGAAGGGATTTCAAATTAGGGTGAAAGTAACCAAGTTCAATTCAATGCCACAAAAACCCAGGCATCAGTTTTCTCCAAGATGATACATGTCTACGAACCGGATATAATAATGTCAGGTGAGACAATTTCGTTTTCTGCTTCGATAAGTTTGTTGGAGGTTAAAATGGACACCAATATGTCTTGGCACAATCATGTCGATGGAATTGCAAAGGCTGTTTCCCAAAAGCTTGGAACACTGTTCCGAATCAGAAAACTGTACACATCTCAGCAACTTTTGATGCGTTATAAAGCTCAGATTAGACCTTCTTTGGAGTGTTGTTCTCATGTATGGAGCTCTGCCTGATTGGAGACGCGAACAACACGTGCAACCTTGATAGTTTGGAACATCGAAAAAAGGTTGGAGATTTGTCTCTCTTCTATAGATACTTTCACGGGAAGTCTTCAAGTGACTTGGCACATTTGATCCCACCAAGAGCAGTACATATCAGAAATACGCGACGAACTATGGCTGCTCATCGTTTCAAGGTTCAACTCAGTACACTTCGAACTTCACTGCTTGAGCACTTTTTCATCTGAAGAACTGCGTTTATGTGAAATACACTTCCTGAGAACGTTTTTCCAAATAGATTTATTCTCCAGCAATTCAAATTCATCGTGAAACGCTACTTTCGCACAGGCATCGCTCTGAGAACACCTTAAGGATTTTCCTGTAGTGCTTGTGTTTTGTTTCGAAAAAAAAAACATTATTGATTTCTTGTTGATTGAAAAAATCATTAATTTCTCCGAATTTTCTTTCAACAGGTTGCACTATCCTCTAACTTCATACCGCCTGAACAGACAAAAAGTTATAATTCCACTTGTTTACTCTGATGAATTTGAATACAAATATTGTCAGGACGATAATAATTTCAACTGGTATTCACTTCAATTAAATAAAACTTGTGTATAGATCAAATTACATACTTTCAAGATGTATGCTTTGAACTCTACATAAAAAAAGTTTGTTTTTATTATCCTTCAACCAAAATTCTTGTGGNTCTTCGATTCATCAATTCAAATAAGTGTATTCAGCTTTTCCAAATCCTTTAACAAAAATCTATTTCAAAAAAATTTTGAACTCACTACCGATCATGAAAATTTAATGTCGGTTTTGGAATTCAACTAAATGTGGTTACTTTTTACCATTAACCTTAATATAATAACACCAGCCTAGATTCTCAAAATGTTCTTTCTCCAACAACTTAATTGAGGCTTCATTCGAAACAGACACAATTCCAGTGGGATTTTCGCCATCTTCAGCTACTTCTTTACTCATCTTCTTGAGAATGATGGATCCAAATCCTTTTCTCTTGTGATGATCCACCGTCTGGAGTAATCCTATTTCTCCCAACTTCTTTTTTAAAATCCAAGAAACAAGTTCATTGGTGGATTTGATAAACAAACCATAGCCACCGCATGTTTCTATCAATGAGGTGACGTATTTTTCTGAGCCAGGAGATCTATGGGGCCAGATGGAATTCATGAAGTCGGCTTGCGATATCTCGAGTTTTCTTATTTCTAGATGATTAGGACATCTGCAACAGACGAACTAGTCAATAGTTCTCGAAGCAAAAAGTCAACCAGAATAATCCAATTAAATTATTGTTTTGACCATTTTTAGTTGTGAATTCTCTATGAATTGTGAAATATCTGGTTCCGTTTCTGAAGTCAGAAGTCGCTCAAAAAGAATCAAAATAAATTCTCTGTGTGAGAGAAACAACAAATTTCACATAAACATAATAAATATGGTTTGGAAAATTAAAAAACACGCTTTTGAAGACCATCGAACTGAAAAGTTAAAAATATTTTTTTAAATGAGCTTGAAATAATAACGAACGAAAAATACTAGTATTATTGTGAAGAAAGCGACGGGCGCTTGATATACAAAAAATGTGGCAACAAGCGCCCACGCTTTTTTCTTTAGAATATCTGACCAATTCTTATGAAAATTTATGCAATTGCCGTTTTTAGTATTTAATATAGATGAAGTTTGTTGTTTATACTAACTAATTTTGACGAATAGTTTGAAAGTTATCGCGATAAGAATAACTTTACGCAACGCAGTAAGCTATTACTTGTCGCGTCTACTGTAAGACGACGAGGAACGATGCGCGGGCAGACGTCGTTGACGGTTGTGTTAGTTTTGCAAATTTCTTGATAGGTAACATAATTCGTTTCTGGGAGATATTGATTACTTATTGCAGTTGGCATATTTTTTTAGTTATATAAATTGAATACATTGATTTTTGGTTAGTATCAAGAAATACGATGAAAACCATTCAGAGTTGTGGAATCGATATTCTGAAAAATAATTTAGCTACAGTGATTTTGCTGCATAATTAAAACGATTTCCTGTTCAAGTTTTATTTCACAATTTATTTATATTTGCAAAGATCCTTAGTGTGTTCGAAACATTTCGAACATTATTTGGTCATGAAACCATTGACAGATTTATATGAGATAGTAAACGCCTTTTAATAGTTGTCACATGCTAGTTGAGTTACAGAGCTCTTTGAGTGTTATTTGAAATAAATTAGTTGAGTGAATCATTGTTAATTCACAGTTTGTTTTGAAACACAGAAGCGGTAATTTTGAGTGTTATGACAACATTTTTAATAATGCTTGAAATTTTCACAGATGTTCGGGATACATCAGTTTTATGATAACGCAAAGTTGTTTTAAATGCTATTAAATTATGTGGAAAGATATTTTTTTTGACTGAAAGAAAATATATTTAAATATGAAGTAATAATCCGGTCAATCTGGACATTGGAAGGACATACATATACAACAAGCTACAAACGCGTGTAATTGTACAAAACATAGTTAAAAATGAGATTTTGAAATTCCGAATGATTGCGATGCTTGGAAAAAAAATTATTCCAGGTAAAAAGTCAAAAATCTAGAAAAAATTTGTTTTCTCGCAATTTTCAGGAAAACGTTGAGTTTTATCATAAAATAACCTCCTATAAAAATTGTAGA